TTCCTGAAGAGGCCAAAGTCTGCTCTTTTGAAGTCCAGGGCAGTGAGCTTGCTGCACGCTCTCCTCACTGTCCTGAGGATCTCAAATTCGAGCATCTCATGATCGCTGCATCCAAGGCTGCCCTGGAGCGTCACATTTCCAACGAGCCCTTCCCTGCTGGTGAGCACGAGGTCAAGCATGGCACCTCTCCTTGTCAGCTCCTCTATTACTTGCAGGAGGAAGTTGTCTTCTACACAATCGAGGAACCTCCTGGATTGCTTGTGCCGGGCCATACCCTCCTTCCAACAGATGTCAGGGTGGTTGAAGTCACCCATGAGAACAAGGGCCTGTGAGTGTGAGGCTGTTCCTATCTGTCTATAGAGTGCTTCATCTGCAGGTTCTCCTTGATCAGGCAGTCTGTAACAGATCCCCACAGTAATGTCCCCCATCGCTTTTCTCCCTTTATCTCTCACCCACAAACTCTCTGTTGGCTGCTCACCTGTCCCCAGGCAGTTCCATACTCTCCAGCCATCACAAAGCTGTGGCGGTCGCTGTGGAGACGCCCATTGTGATGGGGCCCCCACGGTGAGCGTGGGCTTTTTAAGTTGCCAGAGCCCTGCAGTAACCAGTGTGGAGGAGACCCCTCCCTCGGGAGGCTGCATCTCCTGGGGCTGCCCTGCACATCCAGGTCCATGTTCTTTGACTTTGCAATCCTGTTTTAGTGTTGGCTTGAAACACATTGTGGGTGCGTGCTGGGAAGGGAGGAGAAGCTGTCAGGAGCTGTGCTGGTGCCATCCCAGCTGTAGGAGCAGGGGATGGATGGGTGAGGAGGAGGCACTGGGCTTGTTCATGTGCTTGGAGCACAGCTCTGCCTGAAGAGGTGCTGGGGTGGAAGCCGGAGTCTTCTGTGTGCAGGAGCTGCTGGTGTCAGAGGTGCTGAGAAGGTGGCAGGGCAGGAGCAGCCCCTGAGCACTGCAGCTGCTGGTGCTGTCTCTGGGAGCTGAGCACAAGGGGACCTGCCTGGCTCTGGCAAGGATCACGGAAGCTCACCAGGCATTGCGGAAGGTGGCCGGGCCCTGGCAGGTTCTTGTGATCCCTTTGCCGGGCATTCCAGAAGGCACAGAAATTTCTAAACTTAAACATATGAAAACAAACACTTGACAAGAACTTTTATCAGTTGCTCTTTGCAATCTTCCTGCACTCAGAAACCTCCAATGTGCTGTGCAACCTGAAAGACTTGACAAAACGCAAAGGTTTTAATGAGCCCCATGGTGTATTTGGGCTGAGTCCATGAACCTCATGTGCTGAGGAAACCTCTCAGGAAGTCCAACTCAGAAACAAAGCCCCAAGTGCCTTCAGCATTAATGGGCCCCACTGAGGGCTGTTACTGGCAAAGCCTCCCCAGGGACTCGTTAAAGCAAGTAACTGGAGGCTGTGATTACAGGGAGACAAAGGCAAAATGCAGGTGTCTGATGGTGAGAAGGCCAAGCCCTGACTGCAGCCCTTAGGGAAGAGCCTGAAATCCTGAGAAGGAAAGTTCTCCTGGTAGGTCTTGATGAAAGAGGCATCTGCCATAGCCCAGGGCACAGAGGCCTTTTGTTCTTTTGGGCCTTCCAGCCATGCCAGAATCCTCAGCCATCTCTGCTGCAGGCTGTCCTTCACTGGCCCATGCCTGCACTTCTTTCCCTTCAGGCTGTTGACCCCCATCTTGCTTTCCCACCTAGCTCTCACCTGGCATTTCTGTACCTTCAGTCCCATCTCTGCACCCATCCCTGTCTGTTCCTTGAAACACAAAGCCATGGGCTGAGCCAGACTCCCTCTGGGTGACCTCTTGCACCACAAGTCCACCTTTTGAGAGACATTTCTCTTTCCTAACTTTGAATCTGAACCTTCCAGGCTGCACTTTGCAGAGGTTTCCTTCTCTTGCTGCTAGCAAGAAAACCTCCATCATCTCTGCAGCCACATTTCACATAGTTGTAGGCTGCTACTACAGTGTCAATTCAAGAGATGCATTGAATATCCCTCTGCAAGCTGATCTAAAGGAGGCTTCTAGAGGAATGGGTGATGCCATCAGTACAGAGAACTAAGCACCATGGGAGAGCAGCGGGAAAAGGCAATGGTCTGGATTGAGAACTTCTTGGCAAGAGCCAAAAGGAAAGGTGGTGTCCTTGGGTGCAAGGTACCCCATGCTCTGGGGACAGGGCACCTCATCTGGGACAGCTTCCTGCCTGTAGCACCCTCTCTGCTGCACACACCCCGCTCTCTGCCCGCACTCACGAGTGTCTCACAGAAGCTTTGCACCTCCCCTGCAGCAGCGACTCCTCACTGCAGGAGGTTACTGCAATCCCCAGGCTCAGGGATGGATGCTGCATTCCAGGCAAGTTTGGGTAGTGCAGGAGAGGGAGACAGGAAGGTGGGCTCGTGGGGCATGATGAGCAGCGTTCAGGCACCCCCAGCAGTGGGTTCCCCATGTGCCACACTGAGGCATGTTCCATGAGGGAAAGTTCTCAGATAGCCTCTGGTTTGTCCAGGGCCTGCAGCCACACTCCAGGAACACCTACTCCTCCTCCACCTACAGACACCAACTGCTCCCCATCGCTGGGCTCTGTCCTGCTTGTAAGGATTTGTTAAAGCCCTGAACCACCACCTTGCTCCTCTCTGACTTCCCTCCATCTCGCTCACCTCCCTACACACTGCTCATTGCCACCAGTAACTAACTGAAGAGCTAAGAAGCTCTCAAGGCTTTCCTCAGGGGCTGACCATGTTTCTCCATTCACCATTGATGGATCCATTGATTGCCAGGTGTGAGGCTCCTGCAGAGGCAGAGATGCCCCTGGGCAGAGCCCTGCTGCCAGGAGGGGTGTGCAGGGCAGAGCTGAGCACACAGCCCATGGCATGGGCTCCAGGAGCACTAAGAAGGAGCAGAGCTGGGCACAGAGCAGCAGCTCCTGGCAGGGACAGCTCCAGGCAGCAGAGATATGGATGGGCAGGGAGTGGGTTGAAAGTGCAGCCCAGCCCTGGGAAGGGTGCGTTCAGGCAGCTCACTCCAGGTCTGGCACTGGAGGTGGCTGCTGGCCGTGCTCTGCTGCACACAGCCCTTTGCTTCTCCCCATGAGAGCTCCGTGATCTTCTCTTTGAAACCGTGCTCCCCTGCTTTCAGCACAGGACAGGTGTTTGTGGGGGTTCTTAAGATCAGTTTGTGTGTGAAGGCATCATATACAAGTGTTGTAAGCACAGGGCAAATGGGAAAGGACTGATGGACACTGCAGCCCTCCTTGCTCTGCACTAAGCTATAAGGAGCTGAGAACTTCTCCCTGTTTCAATATTGTTCTGATTTTATGTCATACAAAGAATGTTTTATAGCCCTGTCCCCCACCGAAAAGTGTTATGCCAGTAAATACATAGCACAGTCCAAATGACTCTAAGGCCATGCTGAGCCTCTCTTGTGCAGCCCAGACTCACTCAAGTCATGAGTACAAGTAGTGAACTTTACAATGAAGTTGGATTTCATCTGCCATCCCTTGTGAACATCAGAGGTGGACAAAGCACTGCTTCAGAACAAAGCTGACTTCCATCCAACCTGGCCTTGAGCACTGCCAGGGATGGGGCAGACACAGCTTCTCTGGGCACCCTGTGCCAGTGTCGCACCACTCTCAAAGGGAACAACTTCATCTGAATGTCCAAGCTGAATCTTCCTTTTTTCAGCATAAAGCCATTCCCCCTTGTTCTGTCACTGCAGGCCCTTGCAAAAACCCCTCTCCACATTTCTTGTAGGCCCTGCTTAGATATGGAGAGATTGCTAAGATATCTCCCTGGAGCCTTCTCTTCTCCAGGTTGAACACCCACATCTCTCAGTCCGTTTCCATTGGAGACGTTCTCCAGCCCTTAGAGCATCTTTGTGACCTTTCCTAAGCCCATCATTGTAGGATCAGAAGTGAACAGGGGTTGGAAGGGACCCCAGGAGGTCTCAAGTCCAACCCATCATGAAGAGGGTAAGAGCAAGTGGTTCAAGGCTCGATTCAGGCTGAGCTGGAAATCCCCAAGGCCAGAGACTGCACAACCTCTCTGGGTGACCTGATGCAGCACTTGCCTGAGCCGATGGGAGCAAGGTTTCCTTCTGTCCTGGCTGAACCTCTCCTCTGTCACTATCCCCCACTGCCTTTTGTCCTCCCACCAGGCACCACGGTGAGGAGCCTGGCTCTGTATTCTCCATGTCCTCCTTGCCGCTACAGGAGGCCAGTCCCCAACAGCCTTCCCTTCCCAAGATCTCAGGTCCCCATCAGCTTTCCCTTCTCCAGGATGGACAAGCCCAGCTTCCCCAGCCTCTCCCCACAGGCACCGTGCTCCAGTATCTCCTGACCTGAGGGCTCATTACTAAACCCACTCCTGCTTGCCAATAGCGTTCCTGAGTTGGGAATGTGAAACCTGGATGGAGGATTCCAGAGCATCCCTTCCCTTGTTCTCCTGCCGTGCTCCTGCTCATACAGCCCACGATGCTGCTGTCCTCCCTTGCTGCCAGGGCACACGCTGCCTCCTGTCCAGCTCCTGCCCACGCAGACCTTTCCCATGGGCTGCTCCCTGCCAGGCAGCCCCAGCCTGTGCCATTGCAGGGGAGTTCCCTGCAGGGACCCCTGTGTCCCCTGCTCCCCTGCCCAGGACACCCTGAGAGCTCTGCAGCCCCCCCATGCCTTCCCATCTCCCCACACCAGCACAACAGCCCTGGGTCTTGGGCTCCCCAAGAGCTCTTCCTGCTGCAGGCACAGAGCAGCCATCCCAGAGCTGGAGCAGTCAGAAAGCTGCTTTCATTCCCCTTCATTCCTGCCATGTGAGGACATATCACAGAGAAGAAGTTGCTGCAGGATGGTTTATTTCCCTTAAATACAATGAGAGACCCCCACTGACACAAAGCCTGTGTGTCAGACAACAAGAGTGGCTACTTAAGCAGGAGGAGATGAAAACTGACATTTACGTGAAGACCACCACAAATTGAAGCAGGAAAGACATGGCCTCTCATATCCTACAATGGAAGCCCTTTGCAGGGTAAAGGAAGCAGTATATGGTTGCTGAAACCCATCCATTCACCAGCTTCCTCACAGCATCCTTCAGCTCCCGGTTCCTCAGGCTGTAGATGAGGGGGTTCACTGCTGGAGGCACCACCGAGTACAGCACTGACACCACCAGGTCCAGGGATGGGGAGGAGATGGAGGGGGGCTTCAGGTAGGCAAAGACAGCAGTGTTGACAAAGAGGGAAACCACGGCCAGGTGAGGGAGGCACGTGGAAAAGGCTTTGTGGCGTCCCTGCTCAGAGGGCATCCTCAGCACGGCCCTGAAGATCTGCACATAGGACCCCACAATGAAAACAAAACAGCCAATAACAATCAGGACAGCAACCACAAGAAGCCCAACTTCCCTGAGGTAGGAGTGTGAGCAGGAGAGCTTGAGGATCTGGGGGATTTCACAGAAGAACTGCTCCACAGCATTGCCTCGGCAGAGGGGTAGTGAAAATGTATTGGCCGTGTGCAGAAGAGCAGTGAGAAAGCCACTGCCCCAGGCAGCTGCTGCCATGTGGACACAAGCTCTGCTACTCAGGAGGGTCCCATAGTGCAGGGGCTTGCAGATGGCCACGTAGCGGTCGTAGGACATGACAGTGAGGAGAAAATACTCTGCTGAGATGAAGAAGAGAAAGAAAAAGAGCTGTGCAGCACAACCTGTGTAGGAGATGGCCCCGGTGTCCCAGAGGGAACTGGCCATGGATTTGGGGACAGTGGTGGAGATGCAGCCCAGGTCCAGCAGGGAGAGGTTGAGGAGGAAGAAGTACATGGGGGTGTGGAGGTGCTGGTCACAGGCTGTGCTGGTGATGATGAGGCCGTTGCCCAGGAGCGCAGCCAGGGAGATGCCCAGGAAGAGCCAGAAGTGGCAGAGCTGCAGCTCCCGTGTGTGTGCGAATGGCAGGAGCAGGAACTGGGTGATGGAGCTGCCGTTGGACATCTGCTGCCTCTGGGCATGGGGCAGTGTCAGAGGAGAAAAAGGCAGTGACAGGTTAGGACAGGAGGGATGTCAGATACAGAAGTTCAGTTTACACATTCACAACTGAGCACATATTAGCAGGACAGGAGAGGTTTAGCGTCGTCGCCAGTCATGTCATTACACTTCATGTCATTACGCTTCTTCCTAGGTACAATCAGAAGAGCATTGCATCAGGCCAAAAGTCTCAGTTCTTTGCAGAACCAAGAGAGCTGCAGTGTCCATCAGTCCTCTCCCACTTGCCCTGTGCTCAAACTTGCACTGCCTGTAAGGTGCCTTCACACACAAATTGATCTTAAGAACTCCCAGAAACATCTGTCCTGTGCTGAGACCAGGGGAGAACGGTTTCAAAGGACAGTCCACAGAGCTCTCACGCTGAGAAGCAAAGGGCTGTGGGCAGCAGAGCACGGCCAGCAGCCACCTCCAGTGCCAGACCCCAAGAGAGCTGCCTGAACGCACCCTCCCCAGGGCTGGGCTGCACTTTCCCCCCACTCCCTGCCCATCCATATCTCTGCTGCCTGGAGCTGTCCCTGCCAGGAGCTGCTGCTCTGTGCCCAGCTGTGCTCCCTCTTAGTGCTCCCAGAGCCCATGCCATGGGCTGTGTGCTCAGCTCTGCCCTGTACACCCCTCCCGGCAGCAGGACTCTGCCCAGGGGCATCTCTGCCATTGCAGGGGCTCAGGAGCAGCTCACACAAGCCCTCTCAAGACTCTTGATGCCTCCCCCAAAGCAGAGAAGAAAATTCCCAGCTCCCACTGCCCAACCTGCCCACCAAGAGGGAAAAACATCAAAGCTCAGCATCCTTCCCTATCAGGTAAATGATGCCTCAGTGTCTTTCAGAGGGACCCTCTGAAGAAGTGCTCAGAGTGACGGCAGATTGGAGCAGCCTCACCCACCCAGCACTTCCCTTCCCTGCCAGGGGCTGTTCCCTTCCCCTCAGCTCCCCCTGAGCTCCATGGGGAGCTCCCGGGCAGGCCGAGTGCTGACCCTGCAGGCAGCAGAGTCCCTACCCCTGCACACAGCCTTTGGGCTGCAGGGACCCTGCAGCAAGGGCAGCACTGGGCACCCCTGGCTGCACACCCACATTCACACCCTGCAGCCAGCCCCGGGACAAGGGACCTGCCTTGTCCTGTCCCTGCATGGTGCAGGGGAAGCCCTGCTCTGCAGCACATCCTCCTCCTTATCTACAGAGAGAAACTGCAGCTGCATTACCCTGCACCCAGTGCCTTACCACAAACAGGGCTGGGAAGGTTTCTCCTTCAGAAGGTTCCTCCTCCTCCTCCTCAGCATCCTCCACTGCCAAGTGCCTTTAAGCTCCCTGTGTCTCACAGGTCTCCCCTTGGTCCCAGCTCAGCAGCAGAGGCCCAGCCCAAGGTGGCTCTGCCTCTGCCCCACTGGGCTCCTTCCACGGCTCCCTGGGGCTCCAGAGAAACACCATGGGAAACAGCCTGATGATACAAAGATTTGAGGCTAAAAATCTTTGTTTCCTACAATCAATCAATTAATTTGAAAATGGCCCTTTGAGAACATCGAATCCAACCATTAACCTATCTCTGGGAAGTCCACACACTGAGCATGACAACATCTCTGGTAGGATACCCTGCTTGGATGGTCAGCAACAGCAACTGGGGCTTTAAAGTTGAATTTTACATCCCACCTTAATTTCTCTAATTTATATCCTATTCTGTTTGTTGTTAAACATTCTGCTATACATTAGAGCATAGAAATCAGCTGAACAAGTTACGTTGATGCAGAAACCTGTCCATTTATACTTTTCACTGCGCCAAGGGCAGCTTTAGCATAGGGATGCATCTAGATCTGTGCACAGCCATCTAGCTCCATCTCAGTGTGTTGTGTTAGGTTGGATATTTAATTGCAGGTGCGTGTATATTAGCTTCAGTGATCAAGTGCTGTTAGAAATCCTGTGATTGAGTTTACAAATGCAAACTGCTGCTAGCTGGCATTTGTGATCCTTTAGATGAATACCAGGCCTGAGACTAAGTTGGAATGCAGCTGCACGCAGACTGCTCTCGGAGAGGGAGCTTAGAAAGCAAAGAGATCCAATTTGAACCTCGTGACTCAACAAGAGGTTCTCCCTTATTCCTTTCTGTCTGCAGTTTCTATACACATGATTTCAGTTGAATGCTGTATAAATCACTTGAATCCAGTCCTGGATAAATCCTTGCCGAGTCTGACACAATCTCTTTTTGTAGATGGTGGAGTGGGGCCTCGCCACCAAATCCTGAGGAATCCTGCTTTTAGAAATTCACATTAAAGTCACTTTTGCTGGTATCTGTGGAAGTGATTCTTTCAGCATTCTTTCTAAACAGTTTCACAAGAGGCATGCAGGACTTTTCTGCGAAACACGTTCCAGTGTCTCACCACCCTCACGGGAAAGAATTTCTTCAGAGAACAGAGTTTCTGTTTCACTGCAGACAAAGGAGGCAGGAGAGAAGGGGTGGGGAGCACGCACCCCAGCCCCGACTCTGCACAGGGCAGCGAGGGGTGCTGCTCTTCACTACAGCACAGCTGGGCTGAACTGAGTCAGTGCTTACACAGAAACCTGTCCTTGTCCCTGATGAAGCTCTACAGGCCACAGGCTTCTCCACAAGTACCAGCCCATCTGTTTTTCTTATCATGTCTTGCCCAGTGTCACAAGCTGTGGCACAAGGGGAGGCCCTTGTTGCTGTTTCTCCTGGAACACAGGGAAGTAGAAAATGAAATACTTTTTTTAATAATGAAACCCATTCCAGTGACCATGGAAAATATGGAACAAGATGCTAGAGCCCTACAGGTTTTACCAGGAAGAGCAACAATTAACTAAAAATTCCCTCCTGTGCTGTTTCCTTTCCCAGCCCATGTATACTTTCCTCAGTAACTGGCAAACTGCACATGACACAGCAAGAGATCTGTGTCAAGCAAGGTCAGGCAAGGCAAGGCAATGCAAGACAAAGGAAGGCAAAGCAAGGGAAAACAATGCAAGGCTAGGGAAGGCAAGGCAAGGCAAGGCAAGAAATGGCATGGCAAGACAAGGCAATGCAACTCAAGGTAAGGCAAGGCAAGGCAAGGCAAGGCCAGGCAAGGCCATGCCAGGCCAGGCCAGGCCAGGCAAGGAAATGCAAGGAAAGCCAAGGCAATGCAAGGGCAGGGAAGGTAATGCTAGGCAAGGCAAGGCATGTCCAGGCCTGGCTAGGCCAGGAAAGGCCAGTCAAGTCATGGCAAGGCAAGGGAAGGCCAGGCCAGGCCATGCCAGGCAAGGCAAGGCAAGGCAAGGCAAGGCAAGGCCAGGCAAGGCAAGGCCAGGCAAGTCAAGGCAAGGCCAGGCAAGTCAAGGCAAGGCCAGGCAAGTCAAGGCAAGGCCAGGCAAGTCAAGGCAAGGCAAGGCTAGGCAAGGCATGGCAAGGGAATTAAAGGCATGGCAGAGAAGGGAAGGCAAGGCAAGGGAAGGCCAGGCAAGGCAAGGCAAGGGAAGGCCAAGCAAGGCAAGGCAAGTGAAGCCCAGGCAAGGCAAAGGAAGGCAAGTCAAGGCAAGGCAAAGCAAGACAAGGAATGGCAAGGGAAGGAAAATCATAACAAGGCATGGCAAGACAAGGGAAGGTACGGCAAAGGAGGTCAATTCAAGGGAAGGCAAGAAAAGGCAAGGCAAGGCAAGGCTAGGCAAGGCATGGCAGGGGAATTAAAGGCATGGCAGAGAAGGGAAGGCAAGGCAAGGGAAGGCCAGGCAAGGCAAGGCAAGGGAAAGCCAAGCAAGGCAAGGCAAGTGAAGCCCAGGCAAGGCAAAGGAAGGCAAGCCAGGGCAAGGCAAAGCAAGACAAGGAATGGCAAGGGAAGGAAAATCATAGCAAGGCATGGCAAGACAAGGGAAGGTAAGGCAAGGGAAGTCAATTCAAGGGAAGGCAAGAAAAGGCAAGTCAAGGCAAGGCATGGCAAGGGAAGAAAAGGAATGGCAAGGAGACGCAAGGCAAAGCAAGGCAAGACAGGGCGAGGCAAGACAGGGCAAGGCAAGGCAAGGCATGGCAAGGGAAAGAAAGGCATGGGAAGGCAGGGCAAGGCAGGGGAATGCAAGGCAAGGAAATGCAAGGGAAAGTGAGGCAGGGCAAGGAAAGGCAAGGCCATTCCAGGCCAGGCAAGGCAAAGAGAGGCTATGCAAGGCGATGCGAGGCAAGGCAAGGGAACGCAAGGCAATGCAAGGCAAGGACAGGCAAGGAAAGGCAAGGACAGGCAAGGCCAGACCAGGACAGGCAACACCAGGCCAGGCATGGCAAGGCAAGGCAAGGGAAGGGAAGGCAAGGCAAGGCCAGGCAGGGTAAGGCAATGAAAGGGCAGGCAAGGCAAGGCAAATCAAGGCAAGGCAAGGCAAGGGAATGCAAGGCAGGGGAATGCAAGGCAAGGCAAGGCAAGGCATGGCAATGCCAGGCAAGGCAATGCAAGGCAGGGCAATGCAATGCAAAGGAAGGCAATGCAAGGCAAGGCAAGGCAATACAAGGCAAGGCAAGGCAAGGCAAGGCAAGGCAATGCCAGACAAGGCCAGGCATGGTAAGGCAAGGCAAGGCAAGGCAAGGCAAGGCAATGCCAGACAAGGTCAGGCATGGTAAGGCAAGGTAAGGCAAGGCAAGGCAAGGCAAAGCAAGGCAAGTCAAGGCCAGGCCAGCCCAGGAAGGACAAGGCAAACCAAGGCAAGGAAAGCCCTGCAAGGCTAGGAAGGGCCACATCAAGCAGGGCAAGGCCAGGCTAGGCCAGGCCAGTCAAGGCAATGGAAGGTACGAAGAGGCAATTCAATGCAAGGCAAAGCAAGGCCAGGCCAAGCCATGCCAGGAAAGGCCAGGCAAGATAAGTCAATGCAAGGCAAGACCAGGCAATGCAAGGCAAAGAAAGACAAGGCAAGGCCATGCAAGGCCAGGTAAGGCCAGGCTAGGCCAGGCCAGGCCAGGCAAGGCCAGGCTAGGTCAGTCCAAGCCAGGCAAGACCAGGCAATGCAAGGCA